TGAGTGGTGTATGATGAGTGGTGGTTGAACAGCTGTTGAATGTCCGTAACACGGAAGTTTTGCACACTAAACTTCCTTTGATCAGTAACATTGCTCAAGGCACAATTCAGCAAACTTGGCTTGTAGGAGGAAGTAAGAGGCCCAAACAGTGTGGTCACACCCGGGGTTCTTACGGTAGTAGTTGAGGGCCGGGTGTTGGTCGTTGGTGCTCGCATCCAGCGGTGGCTGGTTCGCTGCTATTTACGCAGGCTCCCAGGCAGATTTCGTGGCAGGAACTATTATTTAAGTAGGTGTAAGTATTTGCAAGGTTCTATATAACCTGTAAGTGTTTGGGGCTTTGGAGGGCACAGGCTTCCGCTATTTTTCCATGGGCCCCAACCCGTCAGGAAGGTTGGTGATCATTCATTTTATAAGGAACCCCTTGTGGAAAAACACTTTTGGGCACTACTCAAGTACCAGAATGTAACCTTGATGGTTTTAATACGTAAAATACTAGCTATCAACCTCAGCTGTCGGTAGCAACGGGGATTGATTCTTTACTGCGACTTAGTGAGTAAGAAAACAAGGGTCGTGGGGATTTGAAACGCAGCGAGGCTCAAGGTACAGAGGTCCTGTTGCAAGTTGCATGACCACTCGCCAATCTGCAATAAGTCTGTCAAGTTTCGTCGTATTGACCTTTTTGCCTTTGTGCACGACCATCATTACCCTTGTTCCAGAGTCCTGTCGCCCAAGTTGAGAGTTCAAAGCAACAAGAACAATCTAGTGGTGACATGTGACGAGGATTCTGCCCCAAAAAAAAGAGAAAAAATTTGACATGTGGTGACATTTACATGGGAATATCCACTGTAAAATTGGGGACCCTGGGTGCCCAAAATCAGTGGCATTTTATAGATGAAACGCATGAGCATTATGCATTGTTTGCTCTAAAATCAGGCACCCCAACAAACAACAAACATGTAGTTTTTTCTGGATGTTCAACAATTTCTGATGTCAGTCCTGATTTCATAGAGAGGGTGGACGAGTAAAGTCGATGAAATACGAGGAGGGTGGGTGCCCCAATTTTAGAGATTGTAAAACATAACTCTATTTTATAGATGAAGCTGAATTCCTTATTTATAGAGAAGAGATGACTAGATATTAAAAGCACATACAAGCAATGAAAACATTAGAGAAACAGCAGAACAACAGGAATCAATAAGAAACATCAAGAAACTGGAATATGACAAAGCACAGCCGTCGCAGCATGAGCTTCAGACTGTGGTGGAGGCGATCTATGTCAGAGAAGGATGCAAGCATTTCAGAAACGGAAGTTTTCGGACAGAAACGGAAAAGTGTTGTCAAAACATGTTGTACATTGTTATGTGGCCTGTGTTCTCTATAATTTAAGGGTCAGGGGTAAGACCTATTTTGGCTGCTCTCGACAACTCTCGCATGTCGTTCCTGATTTCATAGAGCAAATATTTTGCATATCTTTAGGTGCCCACATTTTATAGGCTGTCCATTGTGGGGTTCAGGCTGATTTGATCGTTTTATAGAGACTTTTGGTGTACCCGGAATTCACCAGGGGATGTGGTGACATTCTGGTCCTAATGTGAAGTGATACTCGGGAATGTCGTGAAGCACCCACCCACGTAAGCACCGCGCACGCATGCACCCCGGCTTGTGTGTTTTTCTCCTGAGTGCCATCATAAAGTCCTGGAAGATACAAAAGGCATCAAAGGACCAGAAACAACAAAGTTCAAGCACCTTGCGTAACCCCGCTGCTTAGGTTGTGACGTATGGTGCGCTGGTCACGGCAGCTGAGAAAGGACAGCTTTGGCAAGATAGCCTGGATCTCCTTCAACACAGTGCCGCAAAAGGCGATCCAGTTGGCGACATCAAAACTTCTTCGCACAGTTTTGTTGGTAGCAATGTCCTTGCTCCTAATAGTAAGGCCAGGAGCTACTAGCAACGGTTTTGTCAAATCCAAGACCAGGCCCTTTAGGAGAACTTGGGTCATTACTTGCCATCAGAATGACAAGTTGTTCTGCCAGGCATTGTTCCCGATCTTGTTCTTACAGGGGCTGTCATCAGTGCCTCCGAGAAGGCACCAGCGAAAGGTGTCACCTCGTCACATGTTGTATCATCATGTCACTCACTATTGGTGCAAGCTAAGCAAGGCAAAAAATGAGACGCGTCAATGAGTGTCAGTGAGCGTGCCCTGAAGGCTGGGCAGTGGCAGTCTGCCCTGGGTATAGCTGCCACGATGGCTAGTTACAGCCTTCAGCCCAATGAAATTGTGTGCAACGCTCAAATCAGTGCTTGTGCGGCACGTGGACGTGTACCTGAAGCATTGCAACTTTTAGCTGATATGCAGTGGAGACAAGCCGTGAGGTCTACTATTTCATTCAATGCCGCAGCGGAAGCCTGTCAGAAAAGCCTTCAATGGGAATCAGCAGTGGAAATTATGGGCATGATGACGATTGATACCATCAAGCCAGATATAATCACAATGTCATTGGTTAGCCCACCGCTCGAGTTGGCTGGAAAGGCTGAGCTCCTCACAAGTTTCCTTTGCTCCGCGGAGAAGTTGGGGTTTAGCAAGACACCTCTTGATTTGCCAAATGAGCTGTCGGCCCGCCATATGACAGCCACACAACTCCTGGCGGACCACGATGCATTATCTAACAGAGTCGAGCGAAAATTTCATGTCCTCGAATGGAAGTACCTGCGGCCAAAGCTCGAACGCTTATGTTTTGCAGAACCCAGTGCAAGCGAGAGGAACTCTGCCAGGTTGTTTGACAGCCGGTTGAACCGCTTTTTCTCCTTGGGATCTCATTTTACATCCATCGCTTTAGATGCACTCTTTGGGCTTTCAGAGCTGTGGACGGACACGGCACGCAGACATTCGAGATGTGAGACTGGATGTTTTTGGTCTCAAGAAGCCAGTGCTCATGGCCTAGTTGCTTGGGTCCAATACTCTTTGAGGACTTTGAAGCATGGACAGCATACAGTTTCGGGAGGGAGTACGTATGGCTATGGGTACGCTGATGCCTTGGCGCTGCTGCCGCTCTCAGTGCAACATGACCGCTCCAGGCGGCTTAGTCAAAGTCAAACACCAATAAAGACGGCCGAGATGGATCTCTAGCCAAACGTCCAAACACAATGAGATGGCAAGGAAACAAATTAAGTCAGGTAACTCCCAACACTTGCAAAGTTCTACCAGCCATGTGTGATTTACATGCAAATTCAAACGAACTGTCTATAACATCTATAAATTGCTGGCAGGCATGCGGAACGGCTTGCATTGCTGTCAGTGTTTTTTTGGCTGGGAGCGTCAGGGCCCCGAAAAGGAGCGCGAAGTCAACACGATTTCCTTCGCCCATGGCACTTTGAGCTTTTTCAGCTTGATACTCTACCTACTTTTGTCCCGTAAAGGAGCCCGCAAATTTTGGCTTGCAGTCTCATAAGCCTCATAAGCGCCTTGCTGAGGCCAAAGCAGGAAATCCGAGCAGGATATTGACATGTATACAACGACATGCAGCCGTTTGATGTTCAATGTTGACAGGCAGATCAGATAACTTGAAGCACCAAATCTCAGCCAAGAGAATAGACTGGTGAAGCCCGTTTTGTCGGTTTGACGGGTTTTGGCAAGATGCGGATCCATGGCACTTGCGATTGACATGCAAGTTTTTACGGTGCCCCGAGCTGGAGATACAGCGCTACCCAGTGCACCCAGGTGTGCGCATTTGCACGTTGTGGCTAGTGCAAGGACGCTACTAGGGGCTCCTGGCACGGCTACTAGTAACAAAGACGCTACTAGTGCATTTGCACGCTGCATTCCAACATTTTGAACAGGCCATGTTGGTCCCAGTCATCCCATCAGCACTCCTCAAGAAGGGCTGCTAGAGCTGTCCTGGCAGCCTGCGCTGAACTCAGCCGTTTTTTATTTGCAGGGCTGAGGGAAGGCAAATGCCTCAGCCTGGAAAGTTGCCCTGAAGCCACCTCACTGTTAGTTGATGTTTTCATTTCTATTTGGAGTTTTCATTCATGTTTGTATTGGGGTGATGGAGTGAGGGATTGGATGGTGAAAGGGTTGACTAGTCACTAGTTGTATCTTTATGTTTGGAAACACTGAACCCAGTACACTACCCAATATCTTTGTCTTGGGGTGATGGAGTGAGGGATTGGATGGTGAAAGGGTTAACTAGTAACTAATTGTATCTTTATGCTTGGAAACACTGAAGCCAGTACACTACCCCATATCTTTGTCTTGGGGTGGTGGTGTGAGGGGTTGGATGGTGAAAGGGTTAACTAGTCACTAGATGTATCTTTATGTTTGGAAACACTGAACCCAGTACACTACCCCATATCTTTGTCTTGGGGTGGTGGTGTGAGGGATTGGATGGTGAAAAGGTTAAACAGTCACTAGTTGTTGAACCCACTACACTACACTTATCCCATATTTTGTATTGGGGTGAGGGGTGGGGGACTGGAAAGTGAAAAGGTTAGATAGTCACTAGTTGTCTTTATGTTTGAGGGACACCTCCTGAACCCAGTACACTACACTGATCACATATATGTGTATTGGTGTGAAGGAGTTGAGGGATTGGCTGGGGAACAGGTTGAGTGGGTTTGTGTAAAAGGTTTGTTCCCTGCAGCTGCCCTTTCAGAGCTTTCTCCAGAGACTTCTACAGCATCAGCATCATGGAACTTGGAATGGGTGATGCGTTGATGGGATGGGTGGATGGGTGATGGGATGAGTTCAGACATGCCACCTAGAAGATCACAATGTGGTTGCATTTCTTATCTTTGGGCATCAACCCATGAACATGCAACACCACACTGATCCCATATGACTGTATTGGGGTGATGTGGTGAGGGATTGGAAGGGGAAAGGTTAAGTGGTCCCTAGTTTTATCTTCATGTTTGAGGGGCATGCCCTGAACCCACTACACTGATCCCAGCTGTTTGTATTGGGGTGATGGGGTGAGGGATTGGATGGTGCAAGGGTTAACTAGTCACTAGTTTGAGGGTCACACCCTGAACCCACCACACTGATCCCAGATGTTTGTATTGGGGTGATCGAGTGAGGGAGTGGATGGTGAAAGGTTCAACTAGTCAGTTTTTAGTTTGAGGGGCACACCCTGAACCCACTACACTACACTGAACACATATTTGTATTGGGGTGATGGGGAAAAGGCTTACCAACCCCAATTGCCAATTGCCCAATGGCCCTTTCACCTTCAGAGCTTCCCCCAGCGACTTCAGCAGCACCAGTGTCATGGAGCTTATGGGGCAGGGGGGGTGGGATGGGGCAGGGGGGGGGTGTGATGTTGATTTTTTCTGTTTAATTAGGACCTCTTGCAAAAGAGGAATGCGCCGAAAGGTGCTAGATGCAGGTCATCATCATTAAGATTTAGAGTAGCCTAACGTAATATAGTAATAAACATAGAGCCTCTTGAAAAAAAGGAATGCGCTGCAAAGTGCACACTAGAGTCACTAGAGTCTAGTTTCCAGCTTTGGCACACTGAACACTAGGATTTGGTTGTTATCCACCCTAGCCTGGCACAAAGATATGGGTTGATGGTGTTTCAATTAGAACCTGGATACCACAATACACTTTTCTTCCCTTTTTTCTATGCTATAAGGGCATATAAAGTATATTGAAAACAAATTACGCACGATCTATCGTGATCTGTCACTTCTGCTTTTTGACCTTTTCGGGAAATGATGGGAAATAACAGGGCTAAGAATGGCTCCGACCAAGCATTTGGAAAAGTTTGGCTTTGGGGGGGTCGTTTCTGTGTTCACCTTTACACATCTTCGACTCCTGGTCCAGGTTCAACGAAGAAATCCTTCGTTGAACCTAGAACCATGGTGTTGTGATGCCAAAAATTCTGGCGGTAGCAGGGCGCTTTTCTAGCATCGTTGAAGGGGTAGGGCTAAGCAGGGCCGTCGGGAGACCCCCCTAAAGTACCCCCAAAAGGCGCGCGCAATTGTACACCTTTCCAGGGTTCGCGTGTGAAACCCAGGGTTAACTTT